ATTTTTAAAGACTTTGCCCAAGAAAGAGTATTAAGTTCTCTATTATACGTCCTTTAAATAATTATGATCTCTCGATTCGCCGACATTTCTCTGTGTGTTAAACGCAGAAACACAAAAAGATGTATAAGAATTCTTGAAATCTGATAGAAAGAAACTACCAGCTTTTAGGTTAGGATTCGCACTAACTAAAACCAAATTCCTTCACATTAATCGATTAGAAAAATATCAAACCCGTTTTAATTAAAATATAAATTGGCTACTAAAAAGTACAATTAGCAACTTTATTCTTTACTGTGTTAACGCTTATCGGAAAATTAAAAATCATGAAAATCTTTCTTTCTACTCCGACCAATACAATACAATTACTGAACTTATATCTATAAATAATTTGGTGCTAAACTAGCTTATGATCTCAATCGCAATGCCACCCTTATGAACTTTATTGAAGGTAGTAGAGCTGCTTCTATTTTTACTGTCGGAAGCAAGATCTCAAGCGCCAACTCGGTCGGTTATGCGTAAGCCTGTCCCGAACTTTACATATGTGTCAGTAAGTTTCATCAGCCAGTACGCCTCGGCATTCACTATAGAATGCGCAGCTTTAAGTTAAGCACTAGATATTGCTGATAAAATAAACAATAAAAATATCCACATTCTATCTGACCTTTCGAGTGCCCTGCAATTACTTCATGCCACCAGAAACAATAGTAAAAGAGTATAACTTCTAAGGCCGGATGCAAAAATAATTTTATTTCGAATACTCTCTGAAATTGGGATCATAGGTAACGATAATAGCTGATCAAAATGCAAAAGCTACTTTAAGTATGGTCCCAGACATCGCACTACCCCATACTCGGATTCACTAGAATTATTTGCTAAAGAAGTGTAAACAGAGACTAAATATATCATCTTCTGTGGTATACGGGCAAAAATCTGAGTAGAGAAACTATAGTCACCATTAGCAGGTGTAGATCGGATCATTATAAATTAGCAGAATCTCTTCATCGACTTCGCTATATTAACGACTGTGCATGTAAATGTGACCAGAAAAATGAACATCTCCAGAAAGCATTGTAAGTATTGTAAAGCAAGAACAAAACTTATGACTCTTTTTGAACAATTCGAAATATAGTTATCAATAAATGTTGTAAATTAAAGTCAATGCTAACGTAGACAAAATAACTCATTGTAAAACTAGATCGAATACTCTGTATTCCGCAATTCACAATGTAATCGATCAAACTATGTATTCTTTAAATGCTTAATATATATAAAACAATGATTTCTATGTTAGGACTGGAGAAATACGGTTGGTTTTGTCGAAAAGTCATCGTAAATAAACAATGATAGCGATCATCTTGCCATACTTGCTCTGTCTTAATCTGTCTTCCAAAGTTACTTTTGAAAAAAAATTTTAGATTTAACAAAATGTGCTAATTAAACATGAATTTTCATTTTCAGATAATGTTTATTGAATTGCTATTAAATTGAAAAAAGTTGTAATGAAAACTGCTCTTGTCAGATCTAAAATTACTCTATTACTTATCTATTTATAAATATTGATGCGTGCAAAATTTTCGCTTATCCTCATTCGCAGAAAGATCGTAAGGCCGACGGTAAGCGTTCTGTTATTACCAGATAAGTTTTATCAATTTCCAGAGTAATGAATCAGCTCTGATCGTGAGTCACACGTATCGTATGATCACACTTGTGGAAATGCTCGAATAGAAGGAATAAGCGCGGTCGACAAAATAATGTTTTACATCGCAGCGGATTATGAAGTTGAATCAATATTTGGGGAAAACTCGACAAGTCAAATAATAAATTGTACTGTGAAATAGAACAATTAAAAATGTTTGCAGTTTTAAAAAATTCTATCATGAAACGAGCTTATTTCCTGACCTCGGCTGGTCGTTGGTGGATCGATAGAAGCTCGCACACACAGTGGCGCGACTGGAAATAGCGCAATGTACAGTTCGCGTTACGACCCAAGAAAACAATTAAATTCCCATTAACTTTATCGAACGGTCCACCGATAGGAGCAGCAGCAAATGCAGCTGCAAAAGTGAGAGAGAGAGAGAGAGAGAGAGAGAGATATTCAGAGGAAGCAGTGAAAATAAAAGAGTATCTCTGTAGCTGAATTGGAATTAAGGCCGGAATTGATACTACCTTCTCCTTTTGGTCAATTCGATAAATGCGGATAAAGCGTATTTTCTCTCATATTATTTCCAAGGATATCAATTTCCATCTAATTTTACTTATCGGTAAGTAAACCCTGTTAGTCGTCGCTGTTATCGAAAATTATTCCGCGGTGCGATAAAGTGCTATCTGCCCTCGCTTCCTATAAGAGCTGGAAAACAGTCAACTAAGCGATCGCTGTTTAAATCACGATTTTCATCGAGGATAGTCGCGAGGGGGGGGAGCCCGTAAAAGTCGATGTACGTGGCCGATGAACTCGTGATAATCGGATTACGACATGTCAGATTCGAATGCGGGTGCCTTTCAATTTCGCTCCAATGTACATGCAAACAATGTGGCGGGGATGTGCCGATTCACGATTTGCGCTCTACATTTTTATCATTGGTTCATGTACTTTATTCTTTTTTCAAAACAGCAGTGACACCGAGAAATCGCTCCACGGCGATCTCTCTTCGAGCGAGCTATTCACAGAATTATCTTTATTTTTATCTCGCCGAGAGCGTGACTGTAGAAAAATTTCGATTTTATCTGCTCGGTCCGCGGATCGTGTCTCGGGCCCGTTATCTTAGCAGGCAGCTTCTCGCATCATTGCAGTGGCAATTCTCGCGCCGATTAAAAGTCCCGATGGCGGCCGATAGAGCTCAATCGAGAACTGTCTATCCGAGCCATAAACGTGGATAACACATATCGCAAGGTTGATTGTTTTCATTCTTGAGCGGCAGATTAGAGGTGTCGCTACAATAAAACTGAATAGTTGTAGATACGCCAACAGAGCGTCAAACAGATCGACACGAAAAAATAATTATCCGCTTGGAAGATTATTGTGGCAGCGCCGTGCCAAATGAAAGCTGACGCAAGGCGACGTCGAGGGAGGGCCGGCGAGCGGATAATTGAGGCGAAAATGGGGCGCGTCGGGACTGAAAATGATGATCTAGGAGCAAATGGGACTGCACACCTGGAAAGGGAAGACAATGGCGCATTGTGCCACTTCGTCAATTTGCATAGGGCGCGCACGGGGCAGCTTGCGGCCGCCCACCAAATCAGAGCCAAGTCGCCTGGCCGCTCGCTCGTAAGCCGCGAGAGCTGCGTCGGGACCGTTCGCTACGATCTTAATGCGTGGCGCGCCGCTGTACAGCACGGAGAGCGAGTGCGTCGAACGGGCCAGGTGTAGGAAAGATAAGCGGCGCAACGGCCATTATCGTCGGGAGCTTTCGGCAGAGAAGAGCGAGAGGCCGGCATGTGGCTTTCTTTGCGCGTGGTAATTCGAACGATGAGTGCGATCAATCGAGAGCGCGCCTCGACCTGCCAGCCAATTGATAGCGGCTGCTTCGTACTTTCCCTCTGCGATCGCGTGCGTGCTGTTTGCATTGATACGCGCGTCATTGCGAACGTGCCGGCACGTCCTTACCAATCTCTTTGCGGACCGCTGCGCCGCGGCACACATGCACACGTGCGCGTAGCCATTTTCCGGGCGTCCGTGCGAACAGGTTTCCTCGCGGCAGTAGCAACGCCAGCAGCATTAAAGTGTCAACGCCGAGATAAAAAAGAAAGAACGCGTAATACGTATGATTATTCCGCGAGGCCTTCCCAGAGTCGCGGCGTCGTTTTTTGCTCTCTGGCGCGCAAAACAGAAAAGTCGATTGGTCGTTCGATCGACTTACGAAACGAGCAACTTGCCGTGGCAAGCAATTGGGAAACGAAGCGGGAAAGTGAGCGGCTATCAAGGAGGTCGATCTGTTGGACAATTAGTCGTGCGTAATTTTGAACCGACACATCACTGGAAATGCGAAAGAGTTGGTCTCGAGCGAAAGCTGCCGTTGTGCCAAACGAAGAGCGAAATACTTCCGAAAAGAGTGAGATACACGCATAATATATAACGTGCTATCGTGGCGCAAGCTCGTGTTTGCAAGTTCATTAAGTCGTTCTAGAAATATGCGAGATGCCATCCGAGCGGCACACGCCTATACGCTCGAGGCGCGATCATTGTCGCGAGGTTGTGCAGTTTCGAGTAGCGACGCCAGACGCCTACGAGTTGTACACAGCGACGAGGCGAGTGCGCGCAAATCGTGCATCGTCAGCTCGACGTGGGCGCGCGCGCGCGCGCGCGATTGCCGAAACAACGAGAGCACGCAAAACAGAAAAGAGATCGCCCACGCGACGGCCCGCGGAGATTGACAGTTTGCCAGCTGCTTGCTCCATCTTGCTCGCGTTTAGGGGTCGCGAGGTCACGCTCGACCCCCACCGACTTTCCACGGCGGAATGAGTTCTGCTCCCTTCGCTCCCACGCGGCAACCTACGCCGGCACAACCCGGACACAAGTGTGAAAAATAATAAGCTTTCTTTCGGGTCGACCATGCCTGATCCCGCGATTACGCGACCGTCCAGTTATACTCCAATTTCTCTCGCTCGAATAACAAGGCATGTGACGCTATTCACGTTCGGCCTGCCGCTCGCTACTCTTTTTGTATCCAGTCAGCTCGTGCGTTCAACAATTTTCATCGATGTCCCTGTGTGTGCCTTGGCACTTTGAAGGCTGCAGGGGTTTTAGACCAGCTTCGATGTTTCATGGTTAATAACGTTATTAGCGTCGGCGTAAAGAGTGATTGATAGGTTTTAGAGCAGCAAAAACTACGTATAGGAACACTCGACTTGACTCGACTAGTGCGTACAGCAGCGTGTCCGGGGGCCGGGCGTAAACAAAACACTTTACTCGTGTAGCACGTACAGAGGGACGAAAATAAAACAAAAAATAAAAAACCAAGAAAATCGATTGAAAGATCGAAGCAGCAAAACAGTCAACTTACCTCGTTGAAGGCCATGTTCCTTGCTATGCTTGCGGAGCACGTTGAGGTCCCGATGCCCGGCTGCTGGCTACTGCTCGCAGACGACGACGACGACGACGACGACGACGGCGACGACGATGACGACGAAGGGCGCTATGCTCCGTTGGCGATCCTTGACAGCTGCATCGAACCTCTCGGCACGCTAGCCACGGTAACGATGGCGAACCGCGACACATGCGCCGACGAATCCGCGGTGTCAGCAGACAAGCAAACACGTCGCTAGCAAAATCGCACCTCGGTCATGTCCCTGCTGCTGCAATCTCGTTTAACCTGTACGTGCTGCTCCGCGTGAGGCCAGTTGTTCTCTCTTTTTCTCTCCTTCGTTCTCTAGCTATAGCTAGCCAGCGCCTTGACCTCTGGCGCAGAGAATAGGCTCGCTCGCTTTTGAGCGAATACACAGCCACCAACTGCCTTCTCTCCTTCCTTTCTTGCTCTTTCTTCTCCTCTCGTGCCCTTCCGTTGCCGTTGCTCTGCTGCTGCTTGTCACACTCGAATGAGGCTCCCGTTCTAGGCCCTTGTTCGCGACCAACAGACTGCTGGCCAATTCGCGCTGCTTCTTTTCCTAGCGATGTCAGCTAACGATTTTTCCCACATTCCTCAACGAGCAGACGGACAGAAACCGAATTGTGTATAGGCCGCGTGCGCGCGCCAACGCAAGCTGATCAATCAACCCGCGGACGAGGGAACTGCGACGTAGCACGCTCTCCACTAGCCGAGCAGCAGCACCTCCGGAGGCCAACGATTATTTAGTTTAGGCTAGCACTGGCGCAGGTCGATCGAGTCAGTCCGTAGCACCTCGTCTTTTTCGGCAGTGTGACCTCTCCGCAGGCGACACAACACTATCTCGCGAACCACCGTGACAACTCGCTTATCTTCTGCGTAACTTGTTCTTTTTACTCTCTTAACTTGTGGCCGTCGTGACCTCTTTGTTGTCTTGCCTGCTGCCTCCTCTTCCTCGTCGCTCGCGGCCGCTGCCTCTTCGTTCGCGCGTATTATTTACGTTCGCCGCGGAGAGCCCTCGGCAAATAAACGAGCGCCATCTTGATTGTCGCTCATCCCATCGACGCTATGCGTCGCCACTATACAACACTCGCTTGTGTACTCCTCTCTCTCTCTCTCTCTCTCTCTCTCGCTCACTCTCTTTTGCTCTCTCTCGCTCTGCGTCTGACTTTGATAATGTTCATAGCAATATAGACGCTATATACAAGCACAAAGCCCCGCTTCCCAAACAAAAGCTCTGTGCTCAACGTGACTGGCAGCTTACTTGTTTTACCGGTTGTTCAAATTAGTTCTCATTTAGCATGTGATCAACGTCCTTTTGTCATTGTTTTGCATAGACCTCCCTACTAAAAATAAATGTACAAATTTTGTACAGAATATATACGAAATTTGTACAAGTTTGATACAAGTTTTGTATAAACTTATATTAAACTTGCACGAAATTCGACAAATTTTCTACTCAATACTCGATTTTATGCTGAAAGTATAATAAATAACAAATACACGCATATTATTGATAAAATAACGTGAACAGCTTCCATACAAGATGATTACATACAAGAAATGAAATAATAAAATAAAACATCTACCTAACCTAGACTTGAACCCGAGACCTTCGTGTTAGCAGATTTGTACTTTACCATTTTGCTATTGATGACAATTACGATATGTGTAATTTTTTTATTATATATAACATGCAATCTGAAAATTTTTTATGAATTATTTGATCGTATTTAATGAACTGTATTTTTACTGGTAATATCGATCAATTTTAATTTAACAAAAACATATACATGAACCAAAAGAGACTTATTATTAGCTGCTTTCGTATTAAAATTTGGGTGCAAACAAAAAGCTTAGAAAATTACTAATGATCAATATTTAATGTTTTCTCTATAGATTCTTGAAAAGTGTTAAATTATAGACTGCAATCATCTATTTGAATCGGCATGTAATTTTCACATAATAGGTGCAAGTCAGTTTGATATACTAATTTGATATTCACCCGTCAATTTAGTTTTTCTTTTGTTACCAAATAGTGTAAATATCATTAAAATAATATACATAAGTATGGATAATATCTGTTTCAAAGGAAGATAGAGTACGTGGAGAAAGACATGTAAAAAAGTAGGGGGTTTCCTTCTTATTAATAGGATATTATCAATCTTACATATTTTAATATAATATAAGCAATTGATCTAATTATAAAAAATATACTTGTACTTGTCTTGCTATTTATATGTGTAAGACTGATCAATGATACTTGTACAGCATGCGGAACCCGTCGAGAGTTTAAATATTCTCATTATTTATTTCGCCTATTTCCGTCGACAGATGCCGCAAGCTATTAGACCGGGAGGCACGCCGAGAGCTGGTTACATGCTATGAAGAATGAAGACGAAGACCTAAGATGATGTTCTAATCTTATTATCAAGTCGAAAAATTTCCTTATAGTATAGTACATATGGATACTGAATTGGCGCACTATTTTTTTTATGAGGTTATCTTTTTAAAGTGTGTTGATTTGAGTGCATCAGAGCGAATTCGAATTTGATGATTCAAATACAATTTAGTTGGAGTTTTCTTATTGTTTAGAGTTATGGATTGATGCCTGAAAAGTATTTCTTGAACCTTTTAACATATTGATAATGGTTCGTCAATCATAGCTGAAAGGCGTATTTTCAACGTTCGAATATGTCTGTTGGTCATAGTGCAATAAACTTTTAAACAATTCTGCACTTCTTGCAAAAATTCTGAAATTCATCACCTGTAAACATCGTAGCGTGTCGGAAACCATTACATTAGGAAAACCTTTGCGTGCGAAGACTTTTGAGCAATTCAATTGTTAATGTTGACGTTGGTACAGACGAACTGCAAGTCTAATTTCGGTTCGTTGGGCTTAGCATCCATTATAACAAGAAAATAATAATTTTGAAATGAACCTTCATAATCAATATGAATGCACTGCCAATAATTCTTTGGCTTATTCCATGGATGAGAAAAAAATTTAGCTCGACTATTTTTAAGTGGCACGCAAGCTTTGCAAGCTTTAATTGAACGCTTGATGTCTTTGACGGCTAATTTCCAATACGCATAACGTCTTGCAAGTTGCTTCATTTTTTATATAGCCACATGTGTTTGATGTAGTTTTACAAGTATAAGGGGCTGCAAGCTCGATTGAATTATGACTCGTTAATTTCTGAACAGAATGCAATTGTCAATTGTATACTCAGTGTCACAGTGTACATTACGTTTTTAACCTGTAAAATTCTACATAAAGATATTATCTTTTCGAGTTTCATTTAGTATAGATTCGACAGAAATGTTTAGCGTTGAAATAGTTAGAATTCATTTTTCACAAATTTGATGTACTTCTTTGTCAATAACTGCTTCTGCTCTTGATTTTGAAAAAATAGGTGCTCGAGAAACAATCTACATTTTAATTTTCAAAGCCCCTTGAACGAAACTTCATATATAGTTAAATCCTAATATAAATTCTGCATATAGTTGTAAATGAACTGATATACCAAATATATCTGCATGTTAACAAAAAATTCGAGAAAAAGATTGGTTATCAGTAATAAATTTAAATGGCCTACCAAATATTTATTCATCAAAGTAAGTGCTTCATGATCTAGTTGCAAATAGTTTTTCAGCTGACGCCAATGATCGAAGTGTAAATGAAATAGGACGTTCTACTCCATTTACGACATGTGTAAGTACACCTATAAAAGTCCTGTTGGACTCATAGACAAGTTGAACAGATAAGTTATGACATATCAAAACTTGATCGCTCGTGATATCTTGCTATTCTACTTGAACTTCGAATTCTGTTTCAAAAGTTGTTGCAGAGGTACAATTACAGTAGAGTGATTTGGAATGAAATGACAATAATATGTCACCATACTAAGAGAAAATTTTATTTTGATCATTAGATATAGGCATTTGGTCTTTCATCAACACTTCTAATTTTCTCTGATGATTTATAGCAATTTGATTGTATTTAATAGTATAATTTAAAATTTCGTTTATATTCTTTATATTACATTCTTACATATCATTTATAATTAATAATATCATTAATAATATCTTATTATATTACATTCTTCTTTTATATTGCCAGATGTCATGATGTCATTAAAATAATTTTCTATCTTGGAAAAACCTTGAAGAATTTGATTCAGTATTCGGTTGAATTCTGATGATGCTGTTGTTATACAACAAAAGCAACCTGCATCGATTTGTAGTCGAGTCATATTTAAATTAATAATGCTTGACTCTTCATAAAAAAACGAGCAAAATAAGTTTTGTATAAATCAAGTTTACAAAAACACGGGGAATCCCAAAGACTGTTAAAAGTATCGTCGATTTTTGTATTGGATAGTGAATTTTTTTCAGGCATTGATTAACTCGCGCTTGTAATTTATACGCAAGCGATCAGCTCTGTCAACCCTTGAAATAACTACCAAAGGTGATTTAAAATCGCTCGTATCAATTGTCTTAATGATACCAGCTCCTAGTACATCTAGTTATTTATCGGCGGGATCCAAGAGTGCATAAGGAATATCAGCATAAAGGTGATGGTAAATTAGTGTCGTGTTTTCTCGTATTTTCAAATTAACCTGAAAATCACGCACACAACCAACCATTTGCTCGAAGTGTTTTGGAAACATGTTAATTATTTCATAGACTTCATTTTTTATGACATTTTTCTACTATAACATTTCATGATTTGATGTGAGATCTCGATCGATTTTATTCAAATCGACGTTCAATCGTCTAATCTAACTTCGACCTAGTAGTGCGAAAAATTCATCTGACAAAATGTAAATTTTATTGTCGGTTTATTTACCATCATATTCGGCGTGAACTTTAATTTTTTCATCTGGTATAAATATATTTTGAGTATAAGATTGAAAACCAATTGATTAAATAACGGTACATTCAAATTGAGGTTGGAAAATTGACATTGTAAAAACGTATATTCAGAACCAGTCTCAAACGCGAACTTAACATCTTCAATATTGATGTAAGAATATATTAATTAATGATGACAATGAAATCGTTACATATTAAATCGGGAATATATCTGAAAATCGATAACTGAAAAACGCGATATTCGAATTTTATATAATACAAAAAAAATTTATTATTCAATATTATTTATTTAAAACTTATTACATTTTCAACTTGTTTTTATTATTAATTTAATCTGTTTAAATCAACATTGGTTTTGTGACAGATACGATCGGCGCACGATACACTGCGCAACATCCACTTGCAAATTCGCGACCCGCGAAATTCAAAATCCAAATTATTTTACACAATGTATATATGTATTTAAGTTTTAAGATTTGTAATTCAACGTGTCTTATTAGCGAGATTATTTATTTTTTGACGGAGAGGTGAAAGAGTATTAAACTTGACGTTGTTTGACGTAGGAAAAATGGAAAGCAACGTAAATATTAATTTTCGTTAATTATTCACATATATAGGTAGTGGATTACGACCTTACGTCGAGGGCTAATATGTGTTGAACGGATAACATTTTCTGTGGATAAATATGTAAGAGAAAAGTAAGTAGAAAAGTAATTAATGTTTTTATACTGTGCTTGAAATCTAGTGACTTGAAAGACTAACCAAAAAACAAATAAACAAAAAAGAATAACAACAAATACAGCATATTTTTTGAAAGTTATTAATAATAAAAAGTTCGATTAGGAAAATAAAATTAAAGATTATATATTTGGATAATTTAAAGAAGAAGTATCGACTACATTTAAACTAAATAGTAAAAATTATGCCTTATGAAAATAGCGTGAACGAAAAAACTCTTAAGCTAGGTTTTGTTATAAATTTTTATATACTGGTAGAAATTCCAAGCGAACATGACTACGTGAGATTGTAAGACGAATTTAGAGAAAACCTCGAGACGCGCGACGTTCAGAAAACCTAGTCGTCTCGGGCTTTAAATCGAAAAGCGCGGTGATCGATGCCGAAAGATTAATAAGGGATAGGGAGATTGTAGATAGTCGGTCAGGGGGGGGGGGGAACTATTTCCTTCTACCCTTGAGAGACTCTCCGTCTCTCCTATTCTCGAGAAAGCGTGGCGATTTTGGCCGTAACGGGTCGAAGCGTCGTAAGGACTCGAGACACGACAACGGTCGAAAGTGTCTCAGACTAGGCTAAGAGCCGTATAGCTATAATAGTTTGTAAGAGCGAATTATGTACCAAAATTTATTTGTTTCAATAATAAGCTCAATTATTATTACATCTCTTCTGTTAAATCTTCTATTTTTCATATCCCAAAAGTATTCAACGCGGAAGTTAGAATTATTCAAACTTAATAATACCTTGGCTAGGATATAAGCCGGATGTTGTTATAGAAAAGAAGACTACTAGTGATTGAAAGTCTATAGAATAATACTTTGGTATTGAATTATTAATGATTAATAAAATAGTCTATTAAAGAAATGTGGATGTTTTTAATGTTCAAAGCAACTATTAAAATAAAAATTGAATGTTCGTTACTATGCGTACATTTTTAGTGTGGCGGAGCAGTTCGTTAATCGAACATTTATAACAAAAGTGTGTGCATAGTAACAAACATTCAATTTTTATTTTGTAAATGACTTAGCGTTATAGCGTTATACAGCGCGCTCTTAAATTTATGTTTTTCTGTCATTTATTGCATTATTTGAACCTTTTATATGTCAACTTTGAAATTCTAATGATATATGTGTTCAGATGAATAAATCAAGCTATTTAAAATAAGCGTCTAATTCTAGTAAATTAAATGTTGTCAAATCTTTCAGTATTATATTATACAAGAATAATTCTAATCATTGACAATATAACGTTTAATTTATTTTACGAGTGCAAATAAAATTTAATAAAAAATTAGCTATATGATTCTATTTCAATGTTAGTCATTGTCAAATTTTATGAACCTACATGTTGTTACAATTAAAAAACAACATTTTGTAAGTATTACAAAAGTACTTTATTGATATAAATAAATAAATATTTTTTTACAGAAATAAATTTTTATCTGTCCTTTTCATTATATAAAAATTTATTATTTCTTAATACTGGACTACTCAAATTAATTAAGCCACAAATAATTATAACAATTTTATCAATATAAAGAAGCAAGGTCCATTCTATTTTATAAGCAAAAATATTTTGAATGTTTTGATTCTTTGATTCACTTATTCCATATGTATTCTAGTAGCTACAATTTTTTTGGTTTTTTCAAAATCAGCTCTGTTAAATTTTTGTTACGTTCCAATTTTTTATAGCATATATAAATTAATTGTCCTTTTCATACACTCTTCTTTAATTGGAAAGCCTTTGGTGATCATAACAGTATTTATGCAAAGTAATAACTACTTAACAACATAATAGTGGTCAAATATAGCTTTGTCCAAAGTTCTTCCACTAAAACTAGTGCTAATATGTGTGATTAGGCCTCCAGGACTTATTCTCCTAAATTTCACTGTTAAAACTCCTTTATAATATAAATATAAATGTAGTCTACACAATAAATAGCCTGATTTGCCTATAGGAATCTTGGCACAATCTAATACCATTAGAATATTTTTGAACTTTTCAAAATATACAGGTAAATTTGCTACAATTTCTTTTTTATTAGGTGAAAAGACTGTTTGTTTTATTATGACTGCCAATTTCAAAAGTATATTATAAAAATATTTAGAGCATCCTCTTTCACTACATTGAAAAAAAACTGAAAGACAAGTAAAACTAAGATCATGTTTCAATTTACATAGACACACAAGAATATGTTCTGGTATTGAAGTGCTGAGCTTTGTTGTTCCAGATATATCTAGACAATTAACCAAATTATTTAATAACTGAAATCATACATGAGTATAACCCTTTAATACTCATGCATTTTAATTAAGTCTATTAATGTATAACGTTTATCTGTGAAAAAATTTTCACAGCATTTTTCACCTTTTTCATAAATGACAGGTGTTCTGCTTTCCATTTTAGACAATTCTAGCAATTAACAGTTATCACTGTCAATGTTTCTCGTGGTTCTCATATTATTTGTCATGCACGACACTCAAAATTTTCTACGTACATGTATGTATGCACGTAATATGCACGTAAGCAGAAGATATGTAAAATATCTTCTGCTTCATCTTTGGCTAAGATTCTTTGTTTTGATCTGCATTTACTAGATTATTGATTCATATCAAGTGTACTATTCGCTACTTTTTTTCAAATAACTGTTCTCTAAGCTTATTTCGATGAATTACTTTATTGTTTCTTGTATTACTCTTATTCAATTTCTCAACATCTATAGTCAGAAAAAAAAATTTGTTTAGCAAATTCTAACTTAAAATTGCTCGTGGTTTCAATGACAATCATTTCTTTCCATCTATAATAATAATAATTTTTGTAATAACTGGTTATTCTTATAATATATATTTACAATAGCATATTGTAGTCATGATAATGTACCTACTATTTGGAAAATAATTGCAGGCAGAAAATGACAACTACATATTCTTGAATGTTAAGCTACAGTAGACAATTTTATCTTAAATACAACTTTGCCCATTTTTTTCGCAATGCGATGACGTTGGGAAATTTGTGAAATGAAATCTTATTTTTTGGAATTTTTTTACATATTGGAATCGTATAAGTTTTTCTAATTAAACCCATTTTCAATTATTAAAATGAATTATAGTTTATAATACGATTTAATCATATACGATATATGTATTTATTCAGTATTCACCTTTCCGCGTCCGTGGTTTTAAATTTTCGTTATCAGGGGGCGACTACCATGCAGATAAGAATACTAGCGCCACTGTGATAGCAGCGATAGCAGTCATAGTTGTGCTTGTGTAGTTGCAGTTGATGAAGCAGCTCTATTATTGTAAAAATTTTATGGCAATAAAAATACATGTATGCCGGGAGGGCAGAGAGTGCTGCCACCACTGTCTCTAAATGTAAGCAGTGAACCAGGACGAAAACCGCTATAGCTGATCTACTGTCATCGACTATTGCCATTTCATTGCACTGGCAGGAAAGAAGACTAGAGAGTATCGAGCAAAAACTATCCGCAGCGCACAGTGAACAAATTGTATTAAACGAGTGTTTAGCGCCAGAATATTTTCGTGGCGTTGAGAAGTCTTTTCCTCGAAAGGTATTTGGTTCATCAGCCAAGACGGCGCTCGATATTCTCAGCTCCACAACGGCGTTGCAAAGACAGCAGCAGCTTCTCGCCTTGGCTAGAAGCAACGCCAGCAGCTGTACGCCTTCCTTACGACATCACGCCCTCGCCATCGAAAGCGAGGACCGAATCTCACGAGTTGTGAGGCTCGACAATATCGCCAAAATGGGAAGGTCCAGATCGCGTAGTAAATCTCCTAGCCGTAGACGTCACAAGAGTAAACACTCACACAAACATCGATCCAAGTCCCGTGAAAAACGATCTAGCAGCAAGTACAGCGACAAACCCAGAGAAAAAAGCTCAAAATCGAGGTATACTTTCCATTTCTTTCGTTCGATCAATTATTCTTACAATTATTCCATTCGGCTACATCGACTTCCACCTTTGCGAGCACGCTAAATTCATACATACAGTGCACATTGCAGTTGAAGTGAAGTCGCCATTTTATGTTCTATATCTATTTTTCATTACGACAAAGTTTCATCGATTTTCACTTGTATTTGTGGTTGTTCTTTATTCATACAGGAAACGATCCCATTCTGCCTCATCCAGTAGTACTTCTGATATATCAGATGATGTTCACATTGTCACACATAAAAAACGTTCCTACAGAGATAGGGAGCGAAAAATGGATGAAGTTGAAAGACTGGCAGAAATGGAAAGACAAAGGTATTAACAAATTTAAAAAATATTTATTTTTTTAGAATTTCCAACATTATTTTACTTTCAATTTTATCATAAGGGGCTTTTTTAGGCGACAACGAGAGGTAGAGCAAAAAATAGTAGAAGAAGAAGCAGCCAAAAGAATAGAAGAGCTCGTGCAAAAACGGGTGGAAGAAGAACTTGAAAAAAGAAAAGAAGAAATTGAAACTGAAGTTCAAAGGCGAGTTGAAGAGGCTAAAAGAGCCATGGAACGACAAATGATGGAGGAGATGGAATGGCGACAAGCTAAATTACGAGAAGAGGAAAAGAGAAGAGAGGTAAGACCAATCCAAAGAAACATAGGAACTTAGCTCAAATGCTGGTGCTGCTAAATTTTATATTAATATTTGCTATAAATTGTATAAATATAAGTGCAAAATGTAATTCTCTTGCACTTATTTAATTATCTGCCAAAGCTAATTGTAGAAAAATGTATCAGTATTGCATCTGTTATTGAGCATCAGTTGTCTCTTACTATTTAGTTACATTGTATAACTTAGCAGCATTAAAGTATTTGAGCTGGAGCATTGTGGTTGGATACATTTTGAAACTTGAAACGTTACAAAAAAAAACCTCAGTGCTTCATTATCTCCAGCATCTTCTAAAATTCTACTGTTTTGATGGGGGGGAGGAAAATGTTTATACTTTTCCCATGAACAATTTTTTTTAATATAGGCGCATGTAAGTTATTTGTGAATGACCAATTGTACCTACACATGTATGTACACATATATATATACAATATTGTTATAGCACAATATTTTTACATATATATGTTCATATGTGATTATAAAGATAGACAAATACTTTTTTTCGTGCTACTTCAAAATTATAGATTGACACTAAAATGTAAAGACTATAAAAACGATAAGTTTCTTGAAGAATCTTTACATACTATTAAAATAAGTCAATTAAGGACAAGCCTTATCTACCTGAGAATCTCCCAATAACTAAGTTGAAATTTGAAAGTGGTACACTAAAAGAAAATTTCAAGAATACAATCAACTTTGTACATATGGTTTTATGTTAGAAATAAAGCTTGACATTATATTTTTAATTTAATCAAGTTCAATTGATTTTACAAATTAATTTTTTAACTGCCATGTACTTTGCTTTGATTAACAATCAGTTCACTAGACACTATACTTTAGGATATTTCAAATTTCTTTTTTGCAATTTTTGCACAATAACATTGTTGATAAATGAAACGACTGCAAAACAAAGAATGTCAGTTGAACCGAGACCAGGTAGACTTAACAAGGCAGAATTAGAATCCCATAGCGACAAAGCACGACCTATCATTATGTAGGTCGCCTTTCTAACTGACTACCAACAGAAGATGCCGGTATTTTACTTACTGCCGTGTGATTGTCAATGAAGAAGGCATCCCTACGTGTGCTGGTGAGAGCTCCATTCAGGTATTATCCAATTTATATATTCATACTTCACTATACAATATTGTTCATCAATTAGTGTTCCTTGCTAAGTTATTTTTTTAACATTACGAGGACAAATCGTTAGGAACAATCACAAAATTTAGGACAAGCATGTAATTCATTTGATGGCTTTATAATTTGAAAGTTTCCATCACGGAAAGTGAAAGAGAGGAGAAAAGAAAAACTTATGAGTTTCAATCGTTGAGATAAAAGTTTTTTAATATGTATAAAAATAATGTTCAAGACTACTATTTTTATGTATCTATGTTTACATAATTATTCATTTGAACATACTTTAAAAAAATTCACTTTTCTTCGATTGGATTTACTAAACTCACTAATCAAATTATTTCTATATGTAATAAGACCACTGTTAGAAAATTATTTTATTTTTAAAATGTTTAAATCTATGGTCGCTTTCTATTTCAAACATTTAGGAACTTTGTTGTATGAATTGACATTGAGAAATTTTCTATTTTTCCTTCTCCTAATATCCATCCCCTGTCAAATTGACATCCAGGATATGCCGACGAGCTATCGGTTGTTGTGATAGCTGCACCATGATTTGGAATAATATGAAAAAGGTTTAATTGAACGAGTTAACTTGATTATATCAATTCAGTATATAAACGTATTTCATTGTCGTTGTAGGAAGAAGAGCGGAAAAAACGTGAGGAACTTGAGAGGATCATGGAGGAAAACAACAGAAAGATTGAAGAGGCCCAGAAGAAATTGGTAAGTAAATATAATTATATTTAAAAATACCCCATTACTATTGACATTTTGTGTAGGGTTCACAAAAGTTTTTCGATACAAGTGGGAAAAAGCGATTTGACCCATGTGTGGATATTGATGTCCGAGCGAAGTAAGAAAAGAGGCCAGACGAGGGTCAAATCACTTTCATATTTATGAAAACGGACTATTGCGTTATTAAATAGAAATTATTATAACTAAAGTAGTCCTTTCATTATTGTTTGCAAATCGATTGCTTATAAGAAAAAATCATCAAAATTTTTTTCAATTTAAAAAAGACAAAATAAATAAGCGTTTATGACTAGAAAGTTTTCTCAATATCTTATTTTCTTTGTTTGTGTAGGCTGAGGAAAGACTTGCCATGGTCGAAGAGCAACGGCTCATGGAGGAAGAAAGACAGAAAATGCGAAAAGAACATGAAAAACGAGTCAAGGAAGAACAAAAGAAAATTCTTGGTAAAAACAACTCCAGACCGAAGCTCTCTTTTTCGCTTAAACCAGTAACGTGAGTGTATTCAATCGGTGTAGTTTCTAATGTGATATTTTCGCTATCTTTCGAAATGGTTCGATGGCATGATCCTCTGATTTAAAAAACCGTGTTTTGAAACTTTGAAAAATCTTCAAATCAAAGCGAACATTTTAATACATTAATTAAATGTAAATTGATGATGTCAACAATCCTTTTATAAGATTTTTTGAAGTTCTTAAAACTGGTGCTGTTGTTAAATTTTTCCGAAATACTCTCCAGCTTTGAAGGGAGTATATAGTCTCTTTTTATTAGTCTAGCAATTAAGGATCGAATTGTATAAAAACGCGTTTTATTCGTATAGGTATATTATTTTCAGTTTATTTATCGTTTTTTAAGCTTGAAGATAATTTCTTTTTTTGAGCTGGACTGAGTGCGGAATAGGAATTGCGATAAAGCGTATTAAAATTTGAAACTTCAGTGAAAAGTGTTATCAGTAAAAAATATAGAATAATTTTAGAAAGCCGTCTTAACTGTCAACAGCATTTTTCTATGCATAATAAAACTATTACTTTTTTAATTCGAGTGTACTCATTTACACACAAAAAAAGTTTATTGTAAAAACTCCAAAATAAGTTCCAGAAGATTGATCAAACGTTTATTGACTATTGTATTACTTTGATGTAATCCTGTACAATAAAAAATGTTTGTTTTCCTCAAAAAATGTTATTTATACTATATCCGTATACCTTGTTTCGTATTCAATAAAAATGTCCATAAAAATTTTATAGTGTATGTTATTTGTAGGTATATTTAACGATACAGAAATACAAGTTTTTTATATAATGTAGTTCACTCTTTTCTCATAATAAACTAGAAAGGAAGTATTCAATTGCCCTGCTTTTTTACTTGCACCCTACTTCCTTTTTATTTTCTAAGTCATCAATTAATTTTTAACTTGTTTTTTTAAATAATAGTAATTAGTTTCAAGCGATCATATCTAGTTTTTTTTTAATTGAAAAAATGTTTTGTCTAGTGTGGTATTTCATGAAAAAATTTGAATTTTATAAAAACGTTAAAATGTAATTGAGAATAGATAACAACTTTGAATCGATGAAAGGTGTACATAAAGATCGAATTTAAAAAACCGAAAATGAGCAAGAATCAATATCTATAAAATTTGAATTTGTTTAACACTAAACCTACCGAAATATTATATATACCTATTTCTACCGAATGGCGGTCAAATGACCGCTTTTGAAATACACAATTATAGTATTTTCCAGTTGATTGTAATTAATACAGAATTTAGGATAAACAATAAACACAAAATAATTATCATATAATAATTAAAAAACATTTATTTTTCGGGCTTTAAGAGCGGTCATTTGACCGCTCTGGTAGGTTTAGTGTTAAGTATTTAGGTTTAATTTAGCTATTGATCTGAAAAAAATTGAATATTTTGCGCCAAATGTAATTATGAAGTTGTATCCAATGAGAATAGTGCGCGACCTTGCATTATACCAAAGTGGCGGAACGGTGCTGGAGCCTTATCTCATAGCGCTCACGTTGTAGCGGTTTTTATCTTTCTTTCTCTTGCACCACAAAGGTTTCCTTATACATTCCTCTATAGTACAACCTATGCACACACATAGCTAAACATGCAACAGTATATGTGAGCCATTGGGATACTATGGATTAGTCACGTGATGCTAACGCGTAGTTTTGTATATTTACCAACTCACATGCTCGACTATTCGCTCGCACGACAATATAGTAGAAGTAATGTAGGATTCGGAATGGAGTGATATATCGCTTCCAGATGCACACAGTATAGAGTGAAACCGAGACATGTGTGTGCAGCGATGAGGTGACGTTGTATTGTCGCGACGAGTCAAGTGTTCGGGAGTGAGCAACGAGACGTGTGTAATGTAGTGTGTACAATCGTCACGGCTATATAGCTCTCCTCTCTCTCCTTGCCTTTAAATGCTGTGGTGTAAACGCAATCACGAATTCTTCAACTCCCCGCAGTCTGTGACGGTGCCGTGCCTGCGACTGCGATATACGACGTTGACGGATTCGTAGCAGCAGGAGCAGCGGCGGTACGATGATGATAGCATGAGCAGCAGCATCCTGTTTGAGAGCAAAACGATTTCGTGCCGATGTCGTGCGACAACATACTTCTACTGTGGCTCGCTTGCCTCATGCCTTTTTTTACTTATTAATTCGTCTTTGAGTGTTCGTTAAAAATATATCTCGTGCTCATCTGGAACCTCAAGTTCGAAGCGCTTATGCGTTTCAACCGATCTGCTTGCAATCATGATGACGACATGGAGAAGAGTGAAGGAACATCGGATGGGCGTTGGTATGGAACTATTGTCTTTCTTTTCATTATCACGCTTCTCAATCTTTGTCAGTTAATGCCTCATTCCTACTACCATTAGTTGTACATCTATTTTTCCTTTTATTTTCATGATAATGCCATTTTTTTACTTGTACAACACAAACACTTCTGTGATCACTTAATTGTCACTACTCAACCTGTCTTTCATATATACATATCCTTGAAACACTGTATAGTTAAAGTTTAAATTTATAGTTGAGAAATGCTAATGACTCAAGTTTTCTTGTCAATGATTCATCCTCCATTTTTCCAACACAAATGTTCTTCTAACTAAATGTTCTACTTTTTTTCTTTGAGCTATAATATGGATAACTTATAATTATGATTTACCTTTTTTTCAAGCCATTTACAATTTTTTGGAAGAAGGAGAATTTCGACTACTTCTAAATGTTGGAGATGCTCTTATCGTATTACGTGAGTGTGATGAATGGTATTATGGCTATAAAAAGTACGATGGCAAACATGGGATTTTCCCCAAATCTTACATTTGCATTCAAGAAAGATCTGGGAATATGGAAAGTCTCATGAATGAAATTACCAGTGTTTTGAGAGAATGGGGGTATTACTGGAAACAGCTCTATGTGGTATGCATAATTCATCGTTTTCTTACTTGAAAAAAATATCTTTGTGAAATTCTATTTGCAACTATTCCATTTTCAGAGTCATTCTGATAATTTTGCAAAAATTCATCAGCAAATTTTGGAATTGACAAATTATAGAAGCAAAATTTTAAGTGGAACTTTGACCATTGATGAGTTGAAAGATATGAAAAAATTGGCTACTGCAAAAATTGATATTGGTAACCAGTTATTGGAGCTTGATATGGTTGTCAGAGATGAACATGGCAATATTTTGAATCCAGACTTGACTAGTACTGTTCAGTTGTATTACCAACATGAAACTGCAGCAGAAAGGATTAGAAAAGCTACTACTGAAACTAAAAAGAAATCTGTAAAACCACAAGCACCAGTTTATTCCTACATATTTTTTGTAAATATTAAAAATTTTGTGTGCAAAATGGTAGAGGATGTTGAACTTTTGTTGACTCTGTATGATAGTAAAGAAATGAAGGCAATAACCGAGAATTATGTTTTTTCATGGAGTAAACAAGGTCTCATGCCAGATATAGATCAATTGCATAATCTTAAAGTTTTATTCACAGACTTAGGAAGTAGAGATTTATCTAGAGAAAAAGTTTATCTAATTTGTTACGCCATTAGAGTCGGAGGTATGGAAGCTAAGGAAGTTGATCACAGGCGTTCTAGTGTTGTACAAAATAGTCAAAAGCCAAAAGGTCAGGATAGTATGAGAAGGCCATTTGGTATTGCTGCTATGGATGTTACAGTTTTTATAAATGGCAAACTGGAGAGTGATTCAGAAACTGAATACTGCATTCCTTTTATCCAGTAAGGGTCAAGTCTACTTATTCATGTACCACTTTTATTATTCGTTCAGTTCTGTTTGTTGTGTTTAAATTTTTATTTCAGCAGTTGTGAGAAAGAAAGTTTAGATGGTACTTTACGGAGGATTCTTGCACAAAAGGATGTAAATTTACCAAAAAATAACAGCGTAGGAAATCCTGTTGGCCAAGGTCTTTGGTGTAGCTTAAAATTACTGCGAGGAGATGTCAAACAAGTATGTCTTGAATACAAATGTTTTGTATTTTATTCTACTGATATATATTTTTTACATATACATTTAATATATATAACAATAATCAGGTTAGAGATGAAAACCCTCACTTGGTTCTTGGTAATGTATCAATTGCACGTAAGATGGGATTCCCAGAAGTAATTCTGCCAGGTGATGTTCGAAATGATTTATATCTGACACTTGTTAGTGGTGAATTCAGCAAAGGTTCAAAATCAACAGATAAAAATGTTGAAGTAACTGTAAAAGTGTGCAATGATGATGGTGTAGCTATACCAGGAGTTATTACTCTTGGAGGAGGTGCACTATGCATAGATGATTATCGAAGTGTCATATATTACCATGAAGATAAACCAAGATGGTGTGAAACTTTCAAAATTGCTGTTCCTATAGAAGAATTTAAGCTAGCACATTTAAAGTTTACTTTTAAACATCGAAGCTCAAATGAGGCTAAAGACAAGGCAGAAAAACCATTTGCAATGAGTTACGTTAAACTTATGCAAAAAAATGGTACAACTTTGCAAGATACACAACATGAACTTTTAGTTTATAAAATTGATAATAAAAAGTATGATGATTACGATTCTAATTACTTGAGATTACCATCAACTAAAGAAGAACTGGTAAGTTCTGTTACTTGTACTTTTAAGTAAACCTAGTTTAACTATGCATTTCATTATAAAATAATTTTATCTGTATGTAGAATGAGCTTGGTTTAGAGAAAAAACCAAGTTTAGGCCCTCTAAGTTTATCGTCAAAAGATAACTTCTTGATTGCCACAAATGTTTGTTCTACCAAATTGACTCAAAATGTAAAACTTTTGGGCTTATTGAATTGGTCTTCTTCGAAAACAGACTTGAAAGAATCTTTAACAGCTCTAATGAAAGTTGATGGCGAAGAAGTAGTCAAATTTTTACAAGTGAGTGTTTTTAATTATGTATATCAATCTTAATTCAAAGTTTATTTTATTTATGATGAATGGTTTTCAGGATGTCTTAGATGCATTGTTTAGTATTTTAATGAGTAATACAGACAGTGATGACTATGATGATATGGTTTTTGAGTGCCTTCTTCATATAATTAGTTTAGTTTCGGATCGGAAGTATCAACACTTCCAGCCAGTTTTAGATTTATATATTTCTGAAAGTTTTTCTGCAACGTTAGCGTACAAAAAGTTGATAGCAGTTTTGAAAAAGCGTATTGACAGCGCGAGTGCTAGCGATGGGAGAGATCTAGAAAAAGATATTTTATTGAAAACTATGAAAAATTTACAATATTGCATGAGATTTATTGTTGAGTCTAGATTGCTATTTACAGAGTAAGGCCAATAATTGTTTATGAAAGTGAAAAATGTTATATAACTGGTGAAAAGAAATCAACAAAGTTATTTTGTTTTACAGATTAGATCAAGATGAGGAAGAATTTTCACAAACTCTTACTGAACTTTTAAGATCTATTGTCGATCTTATGAAATATGAGACTGATGGGACGTTATTAGTTCAAGGTGCTTGTTTGAAATATTTGCCGTCCACAATACCTCATTTGCTAAAAGTTTACAGTGGAAAACAACTTAGCATGATTCTGATAGATCTATTGGTTACTCTTCCGTCTGGTAGACTTACGAAGCAAAAAATGATGACTGTCAACGATATCGTTCACAGTCCATTGTTCTTAAACATGGAGTGTAGACAAATTTTATTACCAAGAATCACTATTCTTGTTCGAGATCTTCTAGAAGCGAAAGAAGAGGTAAGTTGGATATTAAACCCAATCAAATAACTGCATTTAGGTCGTACTAACGAAAAATCATTGCTCTATAAAATAATTTCAATCGGCAATTAAGTGTAGTCTATGCTTTTTGTTTGCCGTGCAGCCTGACGCCCTTTCGCCATACACATTAGTGAATTCTATTGACGAGCTTACACCCACTTATTAAACGCTCAAACTTTTATGCTATAACTGTATCACAATAGCTTACTTAATCTGAATAGAATATCTTAAGAATTATATGACGATTATTATGTGTGCTTATTGTAATATTCATGTAGTTCTCAAAATAATCAATAGATTTGCGTATGATACTTTGAAAATCACAATCAATAGCATGTTGACATGTAGTGGTGATGGTTACTAATTTAGCATGCACAAAACTAGGTGGCGATATCTGTTATTTTGTACAATCCTGGGACAATCTTGTAATAAAACCAATGACGATTTTAGAAAAACAAGTAATGCTTATAATAAAACGTCAGACTCGCTTCAAGATGATTTCCATGTAAATTTTGAATTCCTACATTATAAATGGCTTGTTTTTTGTTTCTTCAAATTCATGAGTAATTCAAATCAAGTTCATTTTCATTTTCACAACATTGAGCATTCCAAATTATCAAACTTTCATGTTCTATGTGTATGATTGAATTTAATCAAAATGAAAGTTCAGCTTTTTCATTGAAACTTTTCACTCAATTCCCTTTTATTGATTTGGATACGAAATTCTACGAATTTTTATTGTTTATTTTAAAAATAACATTGAAAGTCATGAGATATAAGTGTTTCCGTATAGATAAATAGAGAAAGCGATGAATGACATTGAGAGAAGGATTTCTCACAAATATGAAAACATCAATGATTATTAATATTAGTTGAAAGAAATGGGAAATATTGATATTGTGATGGATGTGGTACAGTATTTAATTAAACGATATTTAGTATACATTAGTATTGTTAACGGTCTAATGATAAAATAAATTCTTTGCTTTCTTTGATGATATTAGAAAGTTATGTAAATAGTTAAAGTTACAATCACGTTAGTATTTCCAGCAGACTATTTTCTCGAGCATTCTATACTGAGGACTATAGAAATATGACGTAGAAAGAATAGAAAGTAGCTTTACATGCGTGAACACTTTACATCTTATCTAAATTATCAGCTTGTGTTCGTCTCTAATCATATCGCAAGTGAAGTAAAAACTATGTTTTTGAAAAATCGACGGAGAAGTTTCCTATAAACAATATATCACGTTCAATGAAAATTAGATAATTTATTATAAAAAATCACACGAGCTAGAAAGTATCGCGTCTAATCACTTGTAGATTTTCCGTCATGTTTGCTCTACCATTTACAACGTCCTATAATTATCTTATGCTTCGGTCAATGCCAAGTTAATGACTTATCGTCATTAATAGATTATAAAAAGTGCAGCTAAACAAGGCACAAGTATAAATTCGTTTATGATGTGGTTTATCGTTGACGAATCGTAGCCATTAAGTATTGGATATGGTTTTTTATGATTTTTTGAGTTTGCACTAACCTCGGGATTTGTTTTATTTTTGTGTCTGGTATGGTTTTGGTAAATGGCGCGCGATGTAAAGGGACTGTCGGGTACGCCTGGAAAGAGCGTGGCGAAGGTAGCCAGGCTGCTCGGTGAAAATCGGCACCGACTCAATCAACATCGCGGCTACTCTGAAGAGGTAATTTCGCGACAGATGATCCAATAAATTTCTCTCACGTTTTTGTTGACTTTTTTGCCGAATACGAATAAGACACGCGCGCGTCGAGGGCGAGAGCACTCAAGTATCTCGTTAATGTTCGCACAGGTCGAATTATGCGTGAAAATTCTGTCGGACGTGCTGGACTTGACGTTCAGAAGAGACGTCGGCTCGACCGCCTCGGACATCAAAGAAATCATGCTTACCGCCCTGAGAACGATTATTCAGACTGTGATATCAATGGATAGAGAAAACCCCTTAGTTGGTAATCTCGTATCCGTTATGTTGTCGATTTTCAGGTTCGTAGGTTGATCAGAGCCACAGTTTGCTTCTATTAATTGCTAGTACGATTAGATTTTTTTTAAAATAGCGCGCAATTGCATTTGCAGGCAAATGAATCAACAGCATTATGAAATCTACATTCAGCATTTTGGCACGCAGTTTGATTTGCTCGACTTTATCATGGAAATTTTGATGGTTTTCAAAGACCTCGTGTCTAGAAGTGTCTTCTCCAACGATTGGTGCGAAATGATAATGCTCCAGAACAGCGTCATTCTCAAAGCCTTATGCTTCTTCTCAACGACTATTCGAGAACTGTTCAATGCTTCTTTCGAGCAGCAAGCCTGGTCGAATTTCTTCCACTGCGCTATCGCTTTCCTGACTCAGCCAGCTCTGCAATTGGAAAGTTTCACGCAAGCTAAGCGTAAACGCATTGTTGAGCAATACAAGGACATGAGGAGAGAAACTGCCGTGGAAATTCATAAGATGTGGATTAGTTTAGGGGCGAGAAAACGATTATTTGTGCCGGCTCTCGTCGGAGCTATTTTAGAAATGGCTTTGATTCCTGACACTGAACTCAGAAAAAATGCGGCCATACCGATATTCTTTGATATGATGCAAACTGAGTTCTACAGCTCTAAATACGTTGAAGGCTTTAGTGATAAGAAAGCTCATGGAAATACTAAGGCTAATTTCAATCAGTTTGAAAACGAAATGATTGCCAAACTTGATATTTTGGTCAGTGTTAATGACCAGTTGAATATTTTCTGTTTATTACAAACTTGTTTAACGTACATATTTTTTCCTAGGTTGAAGGTGGGAAAGGAGACGAAGACTTTCGCGATTTATGGGTAAAAGAAATGACACCTCTATGCGAGAACCATACGTCAATGAAAGAACAAGGTCTTCGATTTGTTAAAATTGTTGCCGAGCTCATGGATCACCTGCTGCAATATCGCGATGTTATTCATACAGAATCTCAAGAACACAGAATGCTTTGTACAGTTAATCTTTTAGAATTCTATTCGGAAATTAATAGGAATGAGATGTACATAAGGTACGTTGAAAAATTGAAAAGTAAATGATTTTTCCATTTGTTAAATCATATGACGTTTCCTTTTTTATTTTTTTTATAGAAGTTATAAAAGCTCCAAAATCGTTATTAACATAGATTATATATTCGTTTCAGATACGTTAATAAACTATGTGAACTTCATCTGGAATGCGACAACTATACAGAAGCGGCTTATACGTTACAGTTGCACAGTCGACTTTTGAAATGGAGCGACGAATCTTTATCTCCTTTACTTAAATCGAGTAGATATCCTCATTGTCAAACGCATCGTGAACTAAAAGAATGTTTATACAATGATATGATTGACTACTTCGATAAAGGAAAGATGTGGGAGTCTGCTGTTGCAGTGTGCAAGGAATTATCTGCTCAATACGAAGAGGAAACCTATGAGTACCTTCAACTATCTGTGCTATTGAGGCGAATGGCCAAATTTTACGATTCTATTGTTAAACAACTTAGGCCAGAACCCGAATATTTCCGCGTTGCATATTACGGTCGTGGCCATCCATCTTTCTTACGAAATAAAGTTTTTGTATACAGAGGAAAAGAGTACGAGAGGTTGAGCGATTTTTGTTCGAGAACATTGAATCAGTTACCCAATGCTGAACAAATGAATAAGTTATCTCTACCTAGTGACAAAGTTATGGAATCGAATGTTCAGTATGTACAAATAAACAAAGTCGATCCTGTGATGGATGAGAAGAAGCACAGATTGAGTGGAAAACCAATTACTGCTGAACCTGTTTTAAGGTTTGATTATTCATTGTGTAACTTGTTTTTCTGCGAACTATACTTTATCGTGTAAGGCACTAATCATTTCCTTCTGCGACAGATATCATCGCGTTAACAACGTGCAGAAATTCCGTTTTTCAAGGCCAGCACCTAGAAAGGAATTTATGTCAAATGGCGAAAAAGAATCAGGAAATGAATTTGCCTCTTTGTGGCTGGAAAGAACTGTTCTGTCAATTAGTCATACATTGCCTGGTATACTTAGATGGTTTCCCGTTGTTTTCAGCGATACATACTTAGTCAGCCCACTACGCAATGCTATTGAAACTATGGAGGCTACAAATGCAGCTTTGAGAGATCTCATAATAGCACATAGGTATAAATAAGAACGCTTATTATATTTTTGTTATTTAAGTGTATCAAAACAACAATTAATCATTTTCATGGACATTATTGACAGAGCGGATATCAATCTTCCACTAAACCCGCTAAGCATGAAACTAAATGGTGTACTAGATCCTGCTGTGATGGGAGGCATCGACAATTATGAGAAAGCTTTTTTGAATGCCGAGTATAGAGAAGCGCATCCTGAAGATGTGAGAGATTTGGAAAAATTGGAAAATTTAATTGCAGAGCAAATACCCTTACTTGGAGTCGGTGTTCAATTGCACAAGGCAAGAGCATCGCTGGAACTCGCACCTTTCCATCAACATCTTGAGCAATGTTACGCGACTATGCGTGTCCAAGTGGAAGCTAGATATGGAAAAAGAGTGAGTCATATATTAATAGGGTTTACAGAGCCTTGTCTTGATCTGTTTTAGATTTATTTGATTTTTTACAATGCTGACCTCAAAACGTTGTAAAATTGCAATAATCTATTAAATAATTTTTGTTTAATCGCTTGAAATGGTTTCAATACTATGTTTTGATTTCATGTATTTTAACTTATAGACGTGTGATTTGCAAATTGAAATGGCTTCATCGTCAGTTACCATGAGAAGGCATGTTCCGAAAGGCGATAACCAACGTCTATCCGAAACAAGTATCGCAAGCAACGAGTAAGTTTCTATCATTTGTTTATTGTCGTTGAGTTTCTTTTTCTTTTTTTTAAGCTTTACGCTTGGATTGCGTTTTTTATTGAAAGTTGAACATTTTACTCTATAGCCGAATGAATTGAAATTTCTGAGATTGGTTTATTGAGCAAAACAATATAAATAGGGTGAAAATTGTAATGAAAAATTGGTTAATATATCGCGCGGAAAATTTTGGCAATTTGTTTCATTCAGTTGCGGTACTCGATCCAGAGTTACTTCGCTTACGAGATCCCAAGTAGCCGCACTGAAATCTCTAGCGACCTTCAATTTCAACAGTGGTTCCTATATCTCGGGTTTTCCGAGCGTTGGGTTAACAAGGTAAAGGATACGCGATCAATGTCGATTGCTATAGTGCACAATTCATTCACAATTGCAGCGTCGATAACCATCACATCTGGAAGCTAATAAATTCCTTAACGAAACAAAATCATCAAACAACTATGTTCACAATTTGAAAGCATCACATTCAAACTGAAAGCAACTCATACTGTGCATATTTACCGCTCATTTCCGATTAATATTGCTTTGATTCTTCAAGTTAATCTCATAAGTAGCCTACAGAACATGAACGAATTCAGACTCTAGCTATTAATTGCATTTAAAAGTTGTTTTGTTCAAAAGCCACAAGTTGGTGTCATTGTGAATAAAAGTATTACTATTTTATATATTTTCGCTAAGCATGGACAATAATATTTATCTAAAATTTGGTAGACATTAATACAGCATTTCTAAATTTAATATACTCTTGTTATTTTAAATCTCATTAATACATTGCAATAATACTTTCACGTGTGAAGCGAGAGTTTATTTTAAATTAATTGTAGTTCAAAGGTAGACTGTACTAAGAAAATTACTCTTTCAGTTGAATTATGTAAAAAATTTCATATTGTATTGATTTCATAAAAAATTTCATATTTCCTATTTAATTCATTTCATAAAGTATCATTTATTGGCACTTTCATGAAGTTCCACATTTATTTCTGATTCCACATTTCCATATCTATGTCAAAAAAATTTATAGGGTTATTGTGAAGTTTGTACTGTGTAGGTAGATATATCAATTTATTACGTAGAGTTAATTTTTTTTTAATTATTTTTGTAAAAAATTAATGAAAAGGAGTAAGACTAACTAAATTGTCTATAAATGTTGTTATAAATAAAAACATAAAATGGTATATGACTTTGTTGCAAGAGAAAAGTAAAATTTACTGTTCTTTTTATAGGAACAACGCATCGACACGTTCGCATATACTATCCACAACTTCCTTACAAAAAGCCTTAGGCAATTCAAATACTGGCACAAATAAAAAAAAAGATTCTAAACGACGTAGTTCCCGTAAAAGTGACTCGGCAAATAATTCGAAAGCAGAGCAACCCACTAGTCAGTGGTACACTATGCCAGAACCAATACAGATTCAATCATCTCCACTGATTTCTGCTTCAACACCTAGCCTTGTTGCCTCTCCAGTATTTGAACTCAGACAAGAGGTAAGTTGTGTTGTTTTCATGTTTAACAGCATTGTTTAATGTGGAATTTTTGTAAAAATTTTTCTAATTGATTGCGGTACTTTGCAGTTAACGCCAAAACGACCATTAAGATCAGAAGCCGAAAAAGAACGTCGTTTAAGTAATCGTTGGTCAGGCCAATCTCAATCATACCTTCGTTCGCTGAGCAATGGCTTGGATACGCACAGTTTAGGAAAGGGTAACCGCGATAGCATCGGCACCACAGACAGTACTGCGTCGGAAGACGATCCCCCACCACCATTACCAATAAAAACTCGGGAGGTGGATTATTGCAATCTCCCAGACGACAGTTCTATTAATTATTGCTCGGTTAACTCCTTAGCCAGCATAACTCGCACGGCCATATATCGACCGAAGAGCAAATTGCCTATTCCAATTGACAGCTTTGACGGCCATGGAAAGCCGCCAACGCCACCACCAAAGCCTAAAAGACCGATTCATTCTTTAAGCAAAACTGCCCTCATCTCGCCGAGCGACTCGGAAAGCTCAAACCAGGACTCGTCTACGGCATGACTTTAGTCCTAACTAATTTTAGCCATACTTTACCTGAGATACTTGTAGCTGTTACTTCTTTATAATAATATTAGCGTACTTTTCCTAGAAAGCTTTTATACGGATCAAATCGAACAAAGCATATGTCTAGCTTATATTTTATAACAATTTTATTGTACATTTTTAACAAATCATACAATTTTTTAAACTGTTTTATCGATCGCCGAAACTTTAGAAAACCATGACTTTTTGATACTATTCAATTTTCAATGTCGAGATTCACTGAGACTTACACTTGTAAGTAATATAAGAATCAGGTCTTCCATTTTTTATGCGAGTGTTGTGTTTATCAATTTTTGACAAAGCAATATCGTGTTTAGTACTAATAATCTAGCGGCTCGCATGTTTAATATTACAAACTCATTCATTCATATGTGTTATGGCGTTAATTCGAAATGAATCAATACTCATAAAGTTCACACACATCCAGATAAACACATAATTTTTATAATTGTGCAATTTATTACTAAATACAATTTTATTACTTGTTAGATATCGTAGCTCTTGAAGGTATCTTTTGAATCATTCAAATTTTCGTCTAAGAAAGTTGTTAACTATTTATTGTTTTCTTTAACACTGAAATAAATACCACTATCTTTCATTATCATGCCAAAGAAACCATTGTTAGTATTATTTATAAATGACAGCAGCAATTTTGTACAATTAAGCCATGGTATTGGAAAAGGTCCCTGAATTTTTATTAAGCATGCCATAAATTCTTCTATTTAAATATTTAACACTAGTCTATTAAGTTCAACGACTTGATGAAATGATTATAATATATATTTTTTGGATATCGAAAGTTGTCATCGTGCCATTTTGTTGTCAAGTTTATAATTCGATTTCTCAGGGACCAATTTTCGTGAATTAGGCAGTGAAAAATTTTAGTAAAACATTTGTTTATTGTTATAAAGTGTCATTTTATAATATATTATTATAATTCACAAAAGCTGAGTACTCATTTAACTATCCAACTTCTTTTTATTGTACCGGTTAGATACCACTAGTATAGTTAATTAAGAACGTGAAAAAAATTTACTTGTTTTTGTCGCTTAGTTTTCCATATAACATATAATATGTAAGTTTAAATTTACTTTTAATCTATTCGATAAACTTACTTCTCTTATCATAAGTTGTAACGTCAAATACGTTTTCTGTTACTTTTTTATTTTTTATTTTCTAAATATTTTGCGTACTTCGAACAATTACTTAAATGTAATTTAGTACACTAATTATTTAACCTGAATCGGTATAGTAAAAAATAAAATCAAATACTATTGCAATGCGTTTTTTCTTGCTTGAACTATAAAATTATATTAAAAATTATTATTAATAACTATTTTGATGCACATTATTAAATTACAGGTCGCTCCCGCGACCCTTGGATCATGTGGAACCTAATAATGAAAAACGCCTCAGTCAAATCCTCCAGACGTCGTGGTTAGTAGCGGACCTTTGGCATGCTTATCCCGTCCGCTGCGGTGGCCACGAATATTCGTTGCGATTCTACTCTATTTCTCATAGGGTCATTAAATCTGCTGCCCAATACAATTTTGGTAAATGATCGTCCATGCTTCAAATGAGCATGTCGATTATGAATTGTCTGTATTAATTTATAATGAACTTAAAAATCAATATTTAATTTCAAACAGTAAGATTATAGATTGGAAAACATGCAGTTACCAAAGGTTAAAAATATCAAATAGAAAATAATATATATCAAGAGAAAACTTCGAGAATAGACAAAGAAAAATTTTTAAAGATATAAATATTCATATATATATATAATGCGAATTATTATATATATTGCATATAGTTAGCGTTTATACACACGTCGGAAGAGATAAAGAAATAAATAAATTATAAAGGCAATAAATCTATTATCTTAATAATTTTCCCTTTGCATTGTTTATCTAAGCTTGGAACTGGTTATAGTCATTTCTGACTAGATTGCCTTACTAATGATGTAAAAATATACATTTTTATTAATTTTTTCACCTATTTCAATTTTCTTACTACCTTATATTTCCTTCTACACTCTTCAAATATTACGATACATTTTTACTTACATCTTAAGTTAGATCGTTTGGATATCTATTCCATTCACGTTATATCCGCTGACATTTTCTGGATTGTCTTGACAGATCGCTCACTCCTCCAGTACTAATTGCCGATTTTTCCGGATAGCATGAGCTTTTCATTTAATTTTTTCACCATAAATTTGAACAGCTGTCGACTGTCAAACCCTATCGACTGAATTTTTTACGTGGTAAGATTTCGTTGTGATCGTTGATGTTAATGGTAATGGTATCGTCGCTCGGACCTCCGGCGTATTAGCGATTACACTTCGATGTCTATGTCACCCTGTATGTTGAGTGAACGTCGTGATCGTTTCCTTTTTCAATGCGGCTCGTCAACAGTCACCGGTATGACAACGATTCTACCAAACCTATAGACGCCATTGCACTCGAGAGTGCCAACAATAATAGTAATGTCGTTGTGGCTGTCCTTCTCTTGAAGCCATTAACAAGCTTCGTCGTGCTGACAACCTCTTTTTAGTTTAATAACATAGTTCAACTTTTCCAGTTTTTCCTTCAGAAAACCCTTCCGAAGTTTTGAAATCAGAGAAAACTTTTTGTAGGACTCTTGAACTTTTTCATCGTGGTTTCAAAGCTTAGACGCGACCTCCATTTGAATCTTCACACGGTTAAAATAACTCCAGTTGCTTCTTGTTACTTCAGCGGCTGGTGACAAAACAACATGTTATCTGTATATAGTGTCTGAGTTAATTATAGATGCAAAACACCTGGAATGAAACAGACTTTTTCGTTATCGTATTTATAAAGGGTAAGAAAGAAGGTCGTACTTTTTTGGCCAGAACCTCCGTTTTAGCTGCTTGGACAGGAAAACCGGTCTGAAAAACTATAGCTACAGACTCATATGAAACTCTCAAATCTACAGACAAAAAATATGCCATCTTAACGAATACTCAATACACGAAACACGTGCACGCAACAAATATAAAGAGCTTTCACTCTGAAAGGGAATTTTCACTCGAGAATTTCACCCGATATTGAACCTAAAAAGCAATATGAACATACATTCGTATTCATTATCAAAATCACATTTTGTAGCTATTTCCTGAAATTGTAAAGTGCAAATTAAAATTGACAATAAAAATATATTAAATTAAATTTCAATCATTTTGGAACTGTAATTAATATCGTTGTATTTATCTAAATCTTTATTTAAACCTTTCCTCGTCGATTTTTTATCCAAAAATAACTTAAATACCAACAAATTCATTGAATTTCACTAATAAAGTGACCATGTCCGTTAGGTTATTTTACTATTATTGTTTATTAATAGATTTTTAAAAAGTTATATTTGGCTTATAGATTCATATGGGGTTCCATTAAATTATAAAAAGCAGTAAAATTCACTATTCTCCTGACCACTTTTCGTAGTCCTTGAACAACCTTAGATATGTACTATAAGTTCATTTTTTCATATTTGCTAATTTTCTGGAGCTGTTTGATTCTTTTAGAGAAAAGCACTTAGGGATTGATTGATGTCAATTTTGAGATAATTCTGAACAAAAAATTTCCTCTTTCACGTGGTTTCTGAATCATATATTAATCTAGAAAATACTCATGTAAATAACACATCTACACATCTAATACTGAAATTATTTTTTTCGACTTCACAAAAAAGAGTTTACGAGAGGTTCTGTATTCAGCCTGAATTTTGTTTATGTATGTCATGCTTCCAAGGTAGTCCTGTTACATTATTGACTTGATTGAAGCATAATTGCGAGTAATGGAAACAATAAATCTGAAGTTAGTTTTTTAAATTAATCTTGTAATAATATAAAGTAATTGATGATTGAATAATGATTAAATCAACACTTTTCAAATATAATGATTAGGCACCATAACAAATAATTTACAAAGATTCATTCTTTTATTATATATACATGTTTTCTTAACACATAGAACCAAAGTTTATTATAAAATTTTTCGTCGAACTTACTATCTGTACTTAATCTATACAGTAATTGATCGCAATATAAAAAATAATGCTTAATCCACACTTAACAGTTGTTTGTGTGAAAATATGTATGTGCGTTTTGCTTAAGCCCGACAACAGAAATAAAATATCGACGGTTAGATAAAGATGCTATAAGCGTAAATCTCAAGAGCTCCATGGGGATTCCTAATGTTATTTAAGATGCATTCGCACGTAAAATGTAGGGTATACATTTTCCCAGAACGACTAAACGGTCAGGACTACATGTTTTAAAAAAACATTTCTTACGAAATCAGGCTGTTATTTAAACTATTCTTCGAAGAATCATTTACTATTACATAACATTCGAATATCGCTATAAAAAAAATGTTCACCATGAGTAAAATATGACTATCAAATGATTACAAATAGATAATACTATTGAAGTTCTACCAATTAAAATTTATCAATATTCTTTTTATACACATATTTATATAACATAGAATTACAGTAATATTTATCACAGATGTATTTAAGAAATTACGTTGACTACTGTTAAATACACGAGTTTGATGTATTGTAATAAATATTATTGTAATTGTATGTTATGAAAATATGTGTATAAAAAGAATATTGATAAATTTTAATTCATAGAACTTAAATAATATTATTTATTTGTAATCATTCGATAGTCATATAAGAAAACGAAAAAATTCCCACGATGAAAAAACGGAAAAATTTTTTTTACAAACTGTAATTTTGATAATAATTAATTATTCTACATTAAAAAACAACCTTTTTTTTTCTCTTTGGAGTTTTTTGCTACAGTGCATAGTTTTCGAGATAATCAAAGATAAACAAAAGGGAATTATTTTACAGAAAACCTTGTAATTTGTTATCGTCTCAATGAAAATGGATCCTGTTTCACTAATTTTAAAGATAACAGAAATATATAACTTTTACACTTTCGATTTTTTTAAATCTGCTGAGCCATTCAAAAGTTATAACCGATTTAATGTAAAAAAAATTTAAAAAAGTAATTTATTTTTTTAACTTAATAAACACAATTTTTAATTTAATAATAAAATACCGGCGAGATATGAAGGGTATTGCTTTACTTTTCAAAATGAGCTTACGCACATTCTTCTACGACCATTTAGAGGGAGCTGCAAAACTTTAAATTTTAAATAATTTTTTTTTGCCAGAAACTTATATACGCCACTATACAAGCACCGACAAATCCGCTGTCATTTGCGGTTCTAGAAGCATCAATTAACATCCCTCTTTTGCCGAATTTCAAGAATATTGATTCGAAAAATAAATTATTTGAAGATAATAAAGAGTACATCGTAAAGCTATTGCTGATTGGAGGCGTTTGCTTGTGGCTCAATTACAAGCATGGAGTTAATCAACGCCTTAAAAAAGTTCACTATCCAATACATGCAGTTGTGTTGATGAAGAGTCGAGCATTATTCAAACATGACTACGCATCGAGGCACGTATCGAGTGAAAAGACTTGCTTTTGGCGTATCGACAGAACCGTCGTAATTCAACCGATTACGGGATCAAATTCTTTGAAGCTTATTCCAAGACAGAAAAATGTTTCGATGACATCATTATCTATGCGAGTACAAAAGAAGAATCTAAACGAAACTTGATAGAGTGGTTAAGACGATTGTAGCAACACGACTTACGCGTTAATTTTAAAAAATGTTCTTTTCTTCGAGAAGAGATTAATGTTCTAGGTTATACACTATCAAATAAAATTAAATTGCCAAATCATCAGAGAAAGTAAGAGGCGTTGTGGAAATGTTAAGGCCTATATCGAATGATGAAATTAAAATTTTTCTTGGTATAGTAACATTGCTGTCGTTTCATCTCAGATCATTCTAAACTGCGACTGCACCTCTGCGAAAACTTTTCAAGTAGAATGCTAAGCTAAAAAGAATGACAGGTGTGAAGCAGCATTTATTCGATTAAAGCAAGAAATCACGATCCCGGTAGAACAATTTTGATTACGTTATGATGAAATTTTTATGAAAATTAACTGAAAAAAATCGAAATTAACGAATCTCGATGGTATTTAATGTGATTTTCTATTTTATGATGAAACTAATGAAAACGTGGTAGAAAGGTAACATAATTGGATTATTTTCACACCGTTTCGTCACATGTTTTCGTCAAATACT